TGTAATTCTTATTATTTGTTTTCCACATGCTTATGCTATGGACATTTACAGTACGTACAATGAAACTAACAAGTGTAGCGGAGCTAGTTTGGACACGGTGACGTCATCGTCCTCCCTGCGCGTAGCAGGGACCTCAGCCACCTGGGCTGGGGGAGGTCTCCTTTAGCTCACTTGGCTGGTTCCCTGTGGCGTTATGCCGTTATGCTTCAATTGAAGCTGTTCTGAACTCTAGCCAGCAATAAATTACCTGGATGCAGAGAAAAGTTTCTGCCACCTTTCTGTATTGTAATTTGACCCTTCTTTGACCCCTGACATTTCAGATGGACATAAAAAGGCAATATGATATAGCAACTGCCTCAATCATACCTGAGCGGTCTTGTCAGGGAGTTTGATGAATCAGAGACTTTTCTCAAGCCTAAAACTCCATTTAATTGCCAGCAAAATCAACCACTCTGGACTGCTCCCATTGCAGAGATCACCATTACCTTGCTTCACTAGGAGAACAAAGGTGACGAGACTAGGAATGCGATACAATTGTGAACAAGTATGATCTCACTTTGCAACCCAGGTTGATCAACAATAATTTAGATCATGTGCTACTTCTGTAAAGTAAATTGGAAATGATGGGTTTTTTCTTTTACAACCCCAGCCACTTTCAATTTTTAGTCAATCCAGTTTTTGGGGAGCTGTTATTGTGTGGCAAATCAGGGCTGTCCTGGCAGTCTCTGACCCCTCACACCCCTGACACACGGCCCAGATTTGAAAGAGCAGTCAGGGGATTGTGGGGCTCAAGCTGTACTGTCAATGGAAGCAGTCACTCTGGAGTCCTTGAACATCTGAGGGGCTTGCCAAAATGAGAGATGAGAACTTGCTCATGTTCTCTTTCTCTTCCTCTTTTGAAGACAGGCTTATCGAGATCTTAGCTTTCAAATCGAACAATGGTAAGCTTTAAAATGAACAGGGTGAATTCGGTTTTTTTCTGAAGTTATCTGGTGAGGATGAAGCCGTGGAACGTAGCAAAACTCAGGGGGAAGGAGGGTCTGATTATAGTTTCACTTCCACACGGGGCAGACTGAGGATGACAATAAGAATGAGGTTCCACATGATCGTAATGGCTGTCCGTCTTGTCAGAGATTGGTTATCAAGGACCATAAAAGACTCTTGGATTCACTTCCCTGCTACTGAATCTATAATTGTAGCATTTCTGTCGACTGTATATCTAAGCAGCAGATGTCCACTGAATCCTCTCCTGTTCAATTCATTGGCTTGGCAGTGTATGAATTGGTATTGGAAATTAAGGTTCAGGACACAAGACCACTCATAGTAATAACTTTTAATTCCCTAAATTACTTTTTACTTCCACCAGCCCCCTTCACAGCCTCAGTCACAGTAGTTTACTCCACATGGGAAGGTCTGGCCCATCCCTCAGTCAAGCAGGCTCCGGCTGGAGAGTACAGTAATCCCTTGCAATTAACGAGAGCACACACTGCTTTGCGAGGTGCTGTGTCAATCTCTTGAATTAATCCTGAAAAGAAGCCTGCTTCAAGAGGAGCATGTTGAAGCCGGTCTCTTTCGAGGACGACGCGCCAAGGATGTAAGTTGGCAGTCAAAAGAGGCTGCAGCACATTCCACATTAAGCCCCTAGCTCAATTTCTAATCTAAATTTAGCATCACTGATTATTTAAGTAATGCCCACCTGATTTGGAATAGCCAGATATGTGTTTTGTCACGTCACACGTCAGGTCTGGCTGCTACAAACCCCATGACATACAAAAGGGGGAACAGGAGGACTTGTGGCCAAGCTCCTCCAGCTCGCCCACCTCTGAGCCAAACACCTTTTAACCCATCACGGACACCGCAGTCCCGTACCAGAGGTTCAGATCCTTCACCGACAGTGCAGGAAAAGTGTAAGTGTCCTGGAGGCCACAGGGGTCTCTGACGCTGTGTATCTGACTAATCCCCCTCTCTGAAGCTCTCAGCCAGTTGTGCACAAATGCTTGGGCAATCCTGGTCATAGTCCACTACTGACATGACTCAGGCTTGAACCCGTGATCGCGCAGAGCTCAATCTGCATTCCGGCGAGCTCCTTTACCAGCTGGGGCACTTGGGAAGCCCACTCAACCAGTTTCCTCAGCCAGACTCTCTTTACGATCTGCTCTGAGTTAAAAGGCAGAGGAACTTTTTTCATGAAAAAACACGTCTTTAGATTACTGTTCTTAGCAGTCATATTATTGTGCATTATTCTTCTAGCTGCAAAGGTGATCTTGGTGCCCATTGCTGCATTGGAAATGCAGTGCTGTTTTACAGACCATTTCAGATTCCCATATTCCTAACATTGGAGTGGGCCAAAGCCTGCACTTATGCAGCTCGGTGGAAATCAGTGACCCCTCAAGACCTGTAGCAGGAGGTTATTTGTTGAACGGGACAAATACTCACTGATACTGTAGTTGAGGTCACCAGGCTCATTTCATTTGGGCCCTGAGCTGACACAAGGCAGCTCTCCAAGGTATCGCTGACGAATTGATGTTTGGGTGATGAAAAGCAGAACAGCTGAGCTTATAGCTATCATTGCCTATTGCCCTTTTATTGTATTTCCATTCCAGGGCTGCTGTTTTCCCATTATCATCCAAGAATTCAGGAATGAAAAGGTTAAGGCTGGTGAAACAGGCGGGGTGAGAGGTTAATAGTGCTGATAATACCTTCACTATTGCCATTGCGAGCAGAGCCTCTCATTGCTTTTGTATTGCCAGTGTGTGCTAGAGCAGTAGCAGTAAGAGGCAGCATCACCTTGTGAACGCAGGAGCACACAGTTAAAGAGGAAGACGTGCTGGAAACAGGGCCTGACTAGGCAGCCAACGAAACCACATACAGGTGTGCTGCAACGATTTCTTTCAAACCAAAGTCTTCCAGTTAGCCATGCTCCTTTCTGTCTTGTCATTGCAATCGTTTTCTAACGCGCCCCCTTTCTTTTTCGAATTAAAAGTTGCAATTATTTTCTCGTTTATTATTTGCTCTCTTCGCAACCTGGCTTACATCTGCAATCCCCCATTCCACACAGGAAAGATCCACACAGGAAGAATGAGGTCCAGTCAAAGCCCACTGTGGCTGTGTCATGCTGTTAGCCTGCAGTCTTTGGATTCTTTTTTGCTCTCCACTAGTCACATAAAATAAACAAGCTCTTTCTGCAGACTCACCAGTTATAAAATGCAGCCAGTTAAAGTGCGTAGTTAAAGGATCGACAGGGGATACTGCTGGAGTACGTCTGTTGTGAAAAGCTGCAGGGTAATCCGCAGCCTGCTGGAACTGAGAACTGATCAGTCAGGTCGTTGCTTTTCTTCTTCTTTGGAGTGGAAAAAGAGGCTGTTTCGAAACCATTCTGCAATTAGCATGCCACTTTTTATGAGCAGAGTGGAGTTTTAAAAGGCAGGTAGTTCTTACACTAATAACATTTGAAAACTGGAAGCCACCTCTATGCACTGTTTTTTTTTTTTAACCTCTATGCACTGTCAGATGCTTGGCAGTTCTTCCTTATTTTCCAGCTGTGACATGGAGTAGGGACATTGGATTGCACTGGGAACTGTGCTTTGTGATTAAATCCAAATTAAAGTCTGTCTTTTGAGATTATGTCTTTTTCCTTTACTGTAATGAATGATGATGATAGCCCTGAGCTTCCCTCAGGCTCACGTATGACAAAATAAAAAGTAAGGAGAAACTGCTGTGAGAAGCATTTGAGCAGTATAAGCTCACACTCCAGTTTAGTCACTTCCAGAATGATATATACATATATGATTATTTTTGTCCTAGACCTGGCAGGACGTTTTTCATTTCTGGGATTCAGAGAACTGTAAAAGAGAAGTATAGACAGGGATTTACAAGACTTTAATCTTGAGATTTTCAAATACAGCAGTACAAAATCGAAACTAACCAGCTCTTCCCCTTACAAAAGATGTCTGCACTCCAGTGAGGGTAGGAGGCACCTGAGTTCTTCTGATCAGAGCACTGAACAGCTCCAGGGAGATGGCTCCTTGGGACCTCTGGAGCATCTGTTAATTTGCACATGTATTCTGGGAAGCTCCCTGGAAAAGCTTTCCTCCATATTCTAAGGTACACTATTGCAAAGCTACAACTTTCCACTGTCAGCTGATAGCTGACAGGTGTGATTGCACCACTTAATGACTCTGTCCTTTACTCACAGGCTTGTTAATAAGAAGGCATGTCAGTCCGTTAAATCACCTGTCATGGTTCATTTTGGAGCTCTGGGATATTCACTACCCAATTCTTTCTCATTTTGAAAGGCCCTTGTTAAAAGGTTATCTGAGGATGTACAGTTAAGAAATCGTGGGATTTGTTTTTACTGAAATAACCGCAATGACTTCTGACTATCTCTTACAGAAGTGGAAACAGAATAAGACATTCTGTGGACTTTTATACTGGTGAGAAAGGGATGTGTTTGACATCTAATCTAGGCGTTTCTAATGATCAAAGTGACGTAATGTTGAACTTTTTTCCTGTAGACAGTGGATGTGATAATTGTTGTTCTTAGTGATGCACAGTCACTGTGGATCAGAGGGAAATTTTGCATCAAGTCCTGGAGAAGATCAGGTGCATTGTGTGTACCACAGCCTTACTTTCCATTACTCTTCTTATGAATAGTAATAGGACATATTGTTTTGTATCCCCAGTGTTTCATCTCAGTTTCTACTACTGTATCAACAACTATATTGCACAGAAGAACTGTCTCCTTTCTCAAGAATAGTTTGGAGCTTAGAGACATAGGCACATAGCAAGGCATGTTAATCATTAAAGCTCCCACCATTTTTTAGTAAATAATTTGGCTAATGCTTTTACCCGAAGCCACTTATATGTGCGCCGATTTATACAGGTGGGTATTTTACTGCAGCAATTCAGGAGAAGCACTTTGCTCAGGAGTGGAACTGCAGTCAAGAGGCCTGAGAGGGTCACAATAAGACCATGAACTCTTACCTTCCTTTGTCTTTCAGGTATACAGTGCTGTACAATGGAAATCACACAGAACAGGAGAAGCTGTCGCTTCAGAATGATACAGAATCCCAAGAGTCCTGCTTCTGATGACCGTGGCATTTCCACCTATGGATGGGAGTCTTTATGGGTGGGAATGATGGGGAGAATGATGCCGTCATACTGGAGAGCACTGTCCCTCACTCTGACATAAGAGCTGAGGGGCCGCCTTCAGATCCCTCACTGCGTGCCCTTTCAGACTGCTGTGGCGATTACTGGCATTGCCGCTATCAGAACACCGCGAAGGCTATTAAACGTAATGAAGAGGTGAACAATAATTGGAGAGACAGAACTGAGCGAATCAATTCTGAATATTTTTTTATTGAAAAAAAAAATCAGAGACTCGTACGACACTATCCCTCTCATTAAAATCACAATCTTTACCTCGTCGTCCTAGATCTCACCGGTTTTTAGTGCTATTCCACAAGAACTGCCAAAGGTAATTGACTTCCTGAGTAGTACATATTTAATGAAAATAAAATGCCTATTGTGAATTTAAGAAACATAAGTGTAATGCCACAGATTCCCACTTTAGTTTTCTTTTCTGGTGTTTGGCGTGACAGTTTGGCCATGCTGAAGGCTTTTTCCTGCTCTTTTCGGGAAAAAAGTAGCCTATTTATTATGTCATCATGTTCAACTTACTTGTCATTCCAGATAAGAACAGAGCTGGCCTCAAAGGTGATTGTAATCCTGGGTTTTCACTTCTTTGCTGGCCTGAAGAGAAATTGCCCACACCAGGAAATGTTTCAGGAATGATATTATTCCCTGGAAACTTCCATATCCAAATCCCTTATTCCCGTCCATTCTTTCCTCATTTTCTTCCACCACACAACAGAAGTTGGTCATGAACCAGCTTTTCATATCAATGTTCAGTGACATGACAACTTCTTGCGAAAAACAAAATAAAATATGCACTTGTTGCCTAACTCTTGGAATATAGTGAAATTTAATTTCAGTATTAACAGAATCAATAAGAAACAGCTTGCTTGCGGCTATATACCTTTTGTTAAATAATCATGGCTACTTTTTCTCACAAACTGCACAGGATGCTGCCTTTTTTCCCCAGGAAAATTGCAAACACAGACAGCATGGCCTTGACAGCCAGAGAGTGAAGAGTGCGTTTTTTAACAAGCGCGGCGCATTAGTGCTTTTGTAGCTCGTCAGTAATTTCTCCTAGCGAACAAGAGAAAAAATACAATGTACAAAGACACGTTATTTTTTCTGTTTTTGCTGTTGTATTTGGACGGCTGTCTTTATTGCCTAGGATCTCTTCCTTTTTTGGTGGTTACTGGTTCAACATTGCTGCGTTTTATTCTAGCTGTTTAGTTTGTTCTGCACCCATTGGCAAGTTAACACTGACACAAAAGTCTGTCTGTAACAGTTTTTACTGGCCACGATGCCGGCCCAATATGTGCTCTGCCCTGTTGTTCGTGGATGTGAAGTTATTTTGGATAGTAATGGCCTGCCATTTGCTTTTTTATTCCACCTCCATCCTGTGTCTACATCTTTGGAGCTGCTAGCTCAGAATGGCACACAACCGAGTGCCTTAAACGTTGGACTGCACACATTATTAAAACCGATCAGAGCTGTCTGCATTTGTCTCTGCAAAATAGCAAAATAAAAAAATCACTTAGAATTTATTCATGTGTCTCATCCTGAAGGATTCCAAAGCACTTTACGTATAGGAACGGACGCGTTTCATCCACCACGGAAAAGAGGTATCCACCTGGGACTGCAAGCCCACTACACAGGTGGAGAACTAAGAAATTCCTTCACCAGCTGAATTAAGGAGGGATATCGGGGAGAGACCGTTCAAGCCGAAAGAGGAATTTAGTCAGGACACTGGTGTTAACACCCCTGCCCTGAGATCTTGAATGAGTCAGGCCATCAGTATGCCATCTTGTGTGAAGGACAGTGCCTAGTGCAACTGTGTTTCTGGCCCCCATACCGGGGGCATCAGTTTGAGAAATCCTGCTCCAGAGGGAGGAACACCGCCTTACTGACCAGTCCTTTCTTAGCTTCTTACTGACCTGGCTTTCTTAGCTTCTAAGGTCTGACACAATCAGGTTACAAAGTGGCAACACTGTGGCCAAAAACCATAACAGGAATGATTTCCTCCATGTATACGAGTCACACAACACACAGGAGTGTGCCCTAAGGCCCAGCAATACAGCACTTTGTTTTAAAATCCTATTCACCTCCAAGGTGTCACATACAGCTCTCATATCTATGTTTTCTGGATCCAGGCTTGATTTGAGTTTCAATTTGTTTTTCATTCCGCGTGAGAGTGCTATCAGAATGTGCTGATTATCATGCCAAATTTTGGGGGCAGTAGGTGATTGTACATGAGGCAAGTGGTCATTTCAGGACCCTGTCCTTGTGCACCACTTAGCTGCTACAATATGAAACGAAACCATCATCCCACTTTGTGGGGTGAGGAGGAAATTGCCAATAACCAATCACCTGAATCCCCCCTCGGAAATTCATGCCTGCACTGTAAATAAGTTCCCTAATGTCTGTGATTGACTTGGTACAGGCGAACATGTTTCTAAAAACTGGTTGCGGTCATCATGAGTCAACTCAGGCTTGCAGGAAATCTCTTTCAGAACGTGCGTTTACATTCGGTTGACTCATTTTCCTGCGGTTTCATGGTGTCCAATGTAGCACAACACCCCGAAATTCCAACCTTCTGACACGTGCCTCTTCCCCCCCGGTGTAATCGAAGCACTGTACATTGCACAAATAGAAGAGATGAAGGGAAATGTGAACAATTCACCTGAAATTAAAAACTGCTATTTCTTGCCTCCGTGCTCTCCCAGTCGGCTGGAGAGAGTGTCCATACTTTGTCCAACAAAAATCACCCCTGGATTTGAGCAGAACTCCACGTCCACAGAGCTGATGAAACATTCCACCTGATTATTTTTCTATATTCTTGAAACTGGCAATGTAGTTATGTTTGTGGAACTTTATGGACATACAAATGGACTGTGTTTAGAGTTTGCATTAAAATTAAATTAAATGCCTGGGCTGTCTGGAAGCAGCTTTTGTATTTAATATTAAGCAGAAGATGTGGATGTGGATATACCTTCCTATCCCAAGATGCTTGGCGTATAGGAGGGAACTCACTAAACACACATTAAAAGGTTTCAAGGCTTGTTTTTTTCTGATAACACATTTTTTTCTCCCAAAATACTGTACAAATACAGACTAATATTAGTGCTAAGGCCAGTTATAAGTCATCCGTACCACAGGAATATAATACTGTGATTTGCATATATAGAAATCCTTTTTTTTCTAATACATGGTATTTTGTATGCTTATTTTTACCCCGTAATGTACAGCAGTTAAAGTGTTTGTACGGAATGACAAATTAAGATGAATGTTTATTACTAAGATTTTTCACAAAAGCGGATTGATTTCACGTGATTCGCTGCTTTAAATTGATAATAGTCATTACAGCATCTTTGACAACAGTCTCAAGATGGAAATGCAGTGCACTCTGGTTGCTCTTTCCTAATATAAAAGACAGTTTCTTCTCTTACATACTGCAGTACAATCGCCATTTCTTCAGCTTGCTAATAGCAAAAATGCAAAGCTGTCTAGAAATGTTAAAATTAATAGATTCAACTTACCTCAACCTGCCTTAGTTTCACATGTTAATTTACTATTAAAATCGTGTACAAAAAACATTCAACACTTTAAAGCTGTAAAAAGACTGAACCATGTGCAATTAGTTTAAATTTAATGTAATTTATATTATGGAAGATTAAGAACTGAAAAACCGAATTTAATTTTGAAAATGTGTCTTGTGATTTAGTGAACAGAACTTTATAGAATTTTGTATGCAATAATCTGACCGCAGCAACCAAATTCCTTTACGGATTTGCAAAGAATGTAAATGTGTGAAATCTTAGTGTCTTTTTAAACTTGTATTTTTCCATGTGGCTGAATTGCATTGATCATCCCAGAACAAAAAAAAAAAGAAATTAAGAATGTAAATAATCCTGTGTATATAGACACTGACACCTTTTATATTAAGAGTATATATAATATGAAGAGCTTAATTACAATGACAAGAAACTAACGAACCTGAAGACTATAAGGCAGCTTTTGTGTTTGTATTGAAACTTCCGTACTGATGTGTCATTGTGATTTGAGGCACAATCGGGATCATTCAAGAAAGAAATTGATTTTATAGGTCAGGCATCAGAGTAACCAGAATACACTGACCTTTTTTGATTTGTCCCCTTAAAAAGTATCAAGGACAGTACGACAGTACGTCTGCAGGTTTGCTTTAAACCACCTGCACCTGAAACGGTGGCAGAAGCTAATAAACCTTTTTTTAATTAAGCCAATAATAAGCTGTTGTTTGGTGATGTTGTCAGTGATTCTAGTTATTGCTGTTGCCTCTGATCCTCATGAGCTCATGAGCTTGTCCCCTGGTCTAGGGTGGCAGTGCACCATTCTGTCCTCATTTCCTGGACATAGAGACATCATGGAGATTAAACTGGGAAGGAATCAGAGGGAGACAAACAAAAACGTTTTGGGGGGAGTTTTAAAGGGGACACATCAGAAGCTTCCACTTGAAAGGAAAGATAACTTGTGACGTCCTTCATTCTTTTTCCTATTCAAACATGCAGTCATTTCCTTATCAATTTGTTTTTCTAAAGACACTTGACGTCTGTTGTCCTCCATGCTGTTAACAGCTTTTCCATGTTCATCTGGGCTATAATGTGAACTGTAAAGCCTTCTCAGTTCCTGCTGTGAATTTGGCCAGCTGATCATTGTTACTTTGTCTAACAAATAACGAACAGCAAGACTCTGTAGCTGATGTGATTGAGTCTTGACCCACAGATCGTGGGCTTGACTTTGGTCACCAGTAGGGCTGTCTGTCTGTAAATTCCAAGCATTTGCCTGCCTTTGCATTTTTCTCTTGTCAGCTTTACAAAAATTCAACTGAAATGCCCATGAAAGATGTGAAAGAGCCTTCCTTTTGTGCTACACTAAGCAATGCACAGAATGAACTTGCAATTTACTTGCTGAGTGTATCCATAATGAAGCATTCTAATAGTCTTCTTTTAATAGAATGTCTAAAAGACTAAATCCCTTACTAGCAGATTTTATTAACTAACACAGGAATGTCAAGTGGAAGCTCACATATACAGTAGTAGACAGAATTTAAAATTCATTACCTAGTACCTGCATTCATACAGTATTAACCGCTGGAGTTAAGAGTGCTTAAATTAGCTTTTCTATTTTTCAAATAGTTTAAAATAGGTGTCCTGAAGCTAGCAAAGAAATATTAAAGTATAATCCAGCAGAGTAAGCTTTTATATGTGCTGAGTATAAAGCCATCATTTAAGAGGTGTTTGCAAACAAATAATTTGAGCTTTTATTTCATTTTATTTCCGCTTTCCTTACCATTACCTTACAACAATTAAAGCTTTAACCATAGTGTGCACATGGGCTGCTAGCTGCTTTAAAATGTGCTCCTGTCCACTCATTAGTCATTTTTAACTTGTATAAAAAATCAATGTAGGAATGCATAACAAGCAGTTATGTTAGAATGAGCAGATGAATCCAGAGATCAAAATGAATGTAGGGGCAGATTCTCTGTGATAAAAATAATTCTAACCACCACTAGTTTCCCAAGGAAGAGAGCTCTGGCCACAGCATCACCAGCATAATGAAGCTGGAGAGCCTTTGGGGCAACAGCAATAGTCTGCCTGGGCTCAGTATCATTACTATTGATGGTATAAAAACCACGTTGTCCTGCCATAAAATCCTAAGAAGTTGGAAAACGCACATAGCTGTAAATATTTATCTACATATACAGAAAGTATCTATATATACTGTAAGTTTCTATATACAATATCTCCAGCAGTTCCAGTTCAAAAGGCTTAGTGAGGACAAGAGTTTAAAAATCAACCCTTGACACTCAAGCTCTGTGTGTGTTTCCAGGGAACTGCTCTAATGCTTGCAGGGCTCAATTTCCAAACAGTGTCTGGAGGTAGACAGCACTGCTATTGTAAAATGTAAAAGGAAATGAAACGAGCTGCACATTTAGAAATTTAGGAATTTATCAACTGGCAAGAAAGCTTACCTGTAAATTTGCAGACATTCAATTGATGGATGGAGTCAGAGCTAACTCATGGATTGTGGTCTGTGCATCAGGTGACTGCCTGTCAGAAGAGGCAAAGAGGAACATCTGTTTAGAGAAATGTACAAATGTTGTAAAAGCAATTTTGCTGATTTTGAAACAAGGTATATTAATGTTCAAATATTTATACATGCTATACAGTGTACGGCACAGTATCTTACAAATGTTGTTAAGTTAAGGGAATGTGCGTTTTAGTCTCGTTATGAGGAGAGGTGGAATTTTTGAGAAAGCTAACATAAAGTAGAGGTGATAAAATATTAACCGGGCAAGTAATGGGCACTAAGATTAAAGTTTACTTTTAAAATGTGTTCCCAAATGTATTATATCTCTCATTTTGATTCCAGATTTCCTAAGAATGACAAAAATATTAACTACAACTGAACTACTCACATCCCTCAAAGGGCAAGAATTCACAGCATGAACAAAATGTAAATCTAGTAAAAACATTGTACAGAATTTTTTTTCTGTCACTCTTCAGTATTTATTTTAATGGAATAAGATGAGTATTTTCATGTAAAGCTTCTCTTTCAGGGAGCTAAGTGTATTACTTTTTTCTGTTGCTATGTGACAGCTTTAATAAATACAAAAATGAAGAGATGTTAAGACGCTGGAGTCCTTCTTTGTCAAAAAATTAATGTTTACTTCCATTTTACTTCAAACTGAGGAGAACTGCATGTTCATACAGTAGTGGCTGGAAAATACCAGGATAAAATCAAACCAACTCTACTCCCTGGGACTTAACTGTCTCATCCGTAATACCACTCATCCCATATACACAAATCATTCCGCTATGCAAAGATTAAGTGCTTTCAGACTTTCAAAGGCTGTGACATTTATGCATGATACTGCTAAAATCTTTGTACAGAATAAGAAGCAGAAAAAAATTAGGACAATTTCCGTTTTCAACATCTTTGCATTAAAGGAGGTTTTCAGGCTTTTGGTGGAATTTCCCTCTGTGTCTGCCTACAGACACACAGCAGACACTCGATTGCTGGGTTGGATATCTTGCTTTGAATCACATTAAGGCTAAGTTTGTCAAGTATTAGAGGATAAATGGACTGAGGGGTGTGATTCACCTAAACGGTAAAGGTAGCTTTTTTATCACATGTTTTCATTTCTTCTCTCTCTTTGCCATCTACTTTTTTTGTTAAGATGAAGAAATAGTATGAAATTTTATGAAACAACCTAATCATAAAATCCCACAAAAAAAGTTAGGTGTACAAGTTTACACAATTCAAATGGTTTAACATTTTTCAGTACTTTTGTAAATGCAAAATTGGCATGGACAACATCCCACAGCGAATCTAGAGAAGGACATTTACTGGATGCTGCCCCAATCTGCCTCCCTCTTTTTCCTTCTGCTTGAACAGAATCGTGTAGCTGGAGACAGGAACCTGCAGATCTGCACCCACTCAGCACTGAAAGGCCTGACTTATTGCATGTGGCTGTCATGAACTGTAATTGATTCAAGTCATTAATCGCTAGCTTCTGTGTGCATATTGTCCATACAATATTTGAACTACATAATGGGGCTTCTGGCTTTTCTGCAAATTCATTAACTGTAATTTTACATTGCTTAAGATTAATTTATGAGAGCACATTCACATCAAGGTCTGATAACCTAGTTTAGATGTGCATTTAAAGTGGGGTTTCAGCTTTTTCCTTTGGGGATCCCCCTGCAGAGCACCCCAGACAGGACAGACGTTTGGCAACACTACAACATTTAGTTCAGGGGTCTGCAGCTCTGGCCCTGGAGAGCCATGGTCTTGAAAGTTATATAGGCAAACTTAGGCAGTCAATATGCAGAGATCTAGAAGTCTTGTTGACTCCTCCTAATTAAGCAAATGATTGATCCCATTAAGTGTTCCAGAGCTCAGCTGGAGCTCACTATGGGTCAACAAGAGCAGGGTTAGTCCCATAACTACAGGGATACACCTCTATTTACCATGAACAGAAGATAAAAACTCAGAGTGATATTTCCTGACACTGTACAAACCCAAATTGACACGAGCTCCTCCACAATTCGCAGAAGTATCCCACAATATTTCAGCTACTGTGGTATACGTCAGCCTATTTTCATCCATATTTTCATATAATTGTATAGGGTGTACTTTTATGTAATTGTAGTAGTGTTATTAAGTATAGGAACATTAACCTCTAATATAAAAATATCACAAGTTAATGCTGAATATCTTTATCTCTTAATATACCATAGATCTACACAGCATACCCATACATACACAGACCACATAACTATTTATGAATCATAAAGAAAATAAGGTGGATATCTGACCCTGTAATTTGCTGGGCATCAAAAAGGACAATATGAGATGTATCCACTCTGTTTTAATATCAGTTATTATATCTTGATTCAGTATACTACTGGGAAGGCATTGTGCGGATTCAATTTCCTTCCACTAAATCCTTTTGGTTACAGCTGTGAAATTTTCCATTCTGGTTTTGTAATTCTGAGTTCAATATCTCATTCTGGTTTAATTATCCAAGTAATTTGATGCTTCTTGACCCTATAGCTGCTTTCAAGTAAACCAATAACACTTACCCATGCACCCTGGAAGGGAAGTCAAGCCCCTTTCTTTCTATCTACAAGCAACTGAAAAAGTTGGGATAAAGTCCTATAAACATTCGGTATTGTTATTGAACTTTTGCATTCTCCTGAATCTTTTCACCTTTTAAAAAAGGAGTTCATGTCTTTTTAAGAGACATCTAAGATTTGGGGCCTTTTTTGCCGTGGAGAAAGCATTTTGTCTTGCCTTGCTGCCCAAGCCATCAAGAATTACCGCTCAATATTTTAACACCTTCAATAAACTAATCATT